CACCGACCCAACTACTAATCCGCCCCTTATCAGCTTATCTATGGGAGAGCGGACGGGATCCCGAGTTCTCTGATAGGTATGGTCGTATGTACAAGCTGTCGTGCTGTGAGGACTTATTTCAGGCACTCTTTGCTGACAAGACGGCACTGAAGTCATCACAGAGATACCGTGAATGCTACATAGACATACAATTTCATGTAGGTTAACAGTCTTCTTTACTAAGCTCTTCTGATGTCTTATCTTGTCACTCAAGGCGCTGTTGGAGTTGGCATAACGAGTACAAAGGCAATCAGATTCAAGCTCGACAACAAGGGGCATGTATATTGCTGCTTCTACACCTTGACAGATTTCTGAACCTCAAACAGATCTCGTGCTATCACAGCCGCGGTAGTGGTTGACCGGATCGATCTCAACTGTGGATACTTCAACTACCACAACGACCATGGCCACTGAGACCACTGTGATCGCCATTGAAGTCACATCTTACACTATCCACAGTTAACGCAGTAGTATATCTTCGCGACTGTAAGTTAATATAAAAGACTTGAACCATTGGTAACAGAGGTCCGTCTACAAGAAGCTTGAGTTGCACCAACATTCACTCGATTAACTTTCGCCATCCTTGTGTAGATCTCCAATCTTCTATAACGCCTGTTCAACATACTAAGATAAACCCAGTAAAGACTCTCCCAGCTTAGGACTAAACTGACTAAGCCTCTTTATCATTTAGTATAAAGCTCTTGAGTTTTCTTGTCCCCCCCTGGTGCTGTACTTGCAAATAGCATGGGCTTTGAAAAGAACCAGGAGTCCGCCCAATCATGCTGCAGTCAGCCAATGTTAAAACTCACTATCGACGCCACGGGTGCTGCGACTTGCGGTCATTCATGCTTTTCAACTCTAATTGGTTCTCTTACCGCTGATTCGGAGATCCTTTGCCCGATTAGTCCACATGCAGTGTCTTTTGTCTCACAGGCCACGAAATTGGGGAGGCTATGTCCGTCACAGCCACGGCCAATGTTTTGTACTTTTTATCTACAAACAGTCCCTTATCTGAGGGGGTATCCGTCTCAAACATCTCGACTGACACTATAATTATTCTTCCGTCGCAAAATGGCGGCTTTTGGAAGATTGCAAGCTGCCCTTGCAGCGGCCACCAACGAGGTTACCGTTGCAGCAGCTAATATCAACTTCGACTTCACACTCGTCAAATACGAGGCTCCAAAGGAGTTTCGCCCTATCGAAGGGTATCTCACTACAACCAGGAAGCAGGATGCAGAAACCGGAAAATCACACGTCGTAGCGCGCCGGCTAGGTGCACTCTTCAGTGGGATCTGTCCGGATTCCCCGAACTTGATCCGCGCGTACGGTGCCAGAGTTTCTGAAATCTCAAAGACAGCGACCCAAAAGGAATCTCAGGAATACTCCAAGTCCATTTTTGCTTCCTATGTCGGAGTTGATGCAACCTCTATCTGGGCTGCCGCTACTTCCTCGACAACAGCTATTCACGTCCATCTACTGGCTTGCATGTTAGCAGAGCTATGGGATGCATCCGAGGCCACTTCAATCTGGGTAGAGCTGGTTGAAGAGCGACGAAAAGACATTGCTCACCGCCTTGAGCAGGGAGAGGCATTGAACTTCGGTCTCGCATCCGCTGCGGCGCAGCAAGAAATCACAAGAGATCAGCTCGCGTCTTGGGATGCGAGTGCTCGGGCTTGGATCCAGACTGGAAAGTCTGTTATGACTAAGAATGACGCCCAACTGCGACTCATTCTGAAGAACGTCTACTTTGCCATAAATCCCAGTGAAGCGCCATTCGTTAGTGTCATTGACGCCTGGAAGCTGGCAGTTGAAACTACGGAAAAGCTGATCCTGGGGATACCTCAAGAGGCGCAAAATGGCGCCGCCATTCTTGGTCTCTCAGCGTGGCACATCTACCCTGATATTCATGTATATGGGAACAAGAATATCAAGGTCGCCATGAACGATGAGCTAGTCGCGGCTGGTGGTGTTCTCTCGCTTGCGTCATGCCCTTCACAGCGAACCGAGTCACGAGGAGTCTATTGGTCTCTTTGCTTGAGCCATCTGACATTCTATGGCCCTCCTGTTAAGCGAAATCAAGCGTTAGAAAACGATCCTCGCCGGATCCCATTCGATCATCTGCTTCATGCGACCGTGGGTGCTATATTGAGTCGATGGAGAGTTCATTCCGGCGATCTGGTTGATGGGATCAAAATCTTGATTGCCATTCTCGACACCATAAGCGTCGCAAACCGCAGTCTGTATTCGATCATGGCCCTGTTTAGCAATGCCGCCAAACAATGTTTGAATGATGAGCAAGCCTGGAGTTACATGTCATACGGGAAACGTCGATCTGGTTTTATCAAGGATCCGGATTTGCAGTTAACAGGTGCTATCAAAGCATTCTTTGGACTGTCCGATATTAGGGTACTCCTGTCTTGTATCACCAGTTTAGAAGACAGAGTCTCACTACTGCAAAAGCAAGCGAAAAGGGTCGATTTGTCGGGGCAAGAAGTGATCATATTCGATACACCGTCTCTCGCAGCACACGAGGTCGAGTCGGGACGCATCCACTACAACACAAGACCAAAGCGCCGCAAAACGACGGTAACTAAAATGGAGTACAAGGTCATTGGCGCACAACTTATTCGAGGAAAAGGAAAGAATGTTTCAGTATTCGACTTCTGGATTGGCGACCCCTCTTCCACGGCGATCTACAAGAAGCAGGTTGAGAATTCGCTTCAGATCGAGCCTCCCACTACAACTCTTGATGATGTGAGATGGAATTTTGACAATTCGTCGATCTGTCCAAAGACATTTCTAAAGCTTCTCCACCGCCAAGATACAATATTGAACACTCTGGTTTGTCTGTATCTCTCTTACGAGGTGTTCCAAACTCTTCCGCGCTTGTCTGTCCGGATACAATGCCTTGAAACATCTCTACTTGATGCACACTGGGTAAAAACTGGCAATTCATATTATCAGGGTTCCTCAGAATTTCCATTCGAGGACTTTTACTTCAAGACGCTCCCGCACGATGACAGTCCTATAGACTTTCAGATCTTGGCCCATCTGATGTGCGGGTATGATATACACCAAAGTGTAATTCCCTCACGTATCATGGGTCTCTCCTTTGAAGATTCAATCATAGTCCCTGCTTCGGTAAATACTGTCTGGTTCTTTTCTTGGCTATCTAGCTAACATGTTACCTCAGCTTGTACATGACCCTGGAGAAAAGGCCCCGCGTTTTATAAGAATTCTTGGCAATATTGGCCGTCCGGGCCTGACACTGTTGGTTGCGCCGGCAAACCCTATGCTCGCCCCTTTGGATGAAGGCGTCTGGAGAATCTCAAACCTGAATCGGTTCAACGGAAAGGCAGAGGATATGCTCAGCACCACCTCATTGCATCTTTCCTTTACCGATTGGAGCCAGCCGTTAAGTTCAAGGGGGGCTTCGGGTGGTCGAGATGTACAATGCGCGCTTATGGAAGCTGTCATCAGCATCAAAGACTCGGGTCAATGGGTGGGGGATGTTGATATCTTGAAGGCCCTGGAAAGTGACATGATTCACGTGGCACGACTAGATCCGTTCTGTTCTCATGCACGCGGAACTCTGCCTCAGAATCACATGCATTCGATCGAGTGCTGGGATGAATTGAGAGATTGCCCTGAAGAGCAGTTAGTCATTCGAGCCAGTGGTAACTGGGTGGCCCGCCTCGCAGCAGTATCGTATCTCGCTCAAAAAATGGGCACCAAGGACATGAGAACCTCGAGGATCTTCATATGCCCTGATAATATTTGCTGGGCTTGCCGAGAGGCAAAGAGTAATATGGACGATATTTTCATTTACTAGATTAAGGTACTGGCGAGCCTTGTAATCTTTATCTTTTCCTACCTACTTCTGAGGTATTCGCTTGGTTATACCTTTTAATACTGCCAAGTCAAGCAAATCAGTGCCATTATGTGTAATACTGACAGTTCCGTCTGCCTCATGTGCATTCTCCACGTCGAGATATATACCATCCTTTACATTTCGAATCCTATCCACCGTTAGCTGACCTTTCAACAAAGAAAGATAGTTCAGTTTACTCACTTTACCACCTTGTTCGTGGAAGGGCTATCTCTTTTCATGCCCTCTAGAACCCAGTGTGTTGCAGGATCTGAGAGGTCGTGCTTCAAGGCTTGAGCATTCTTTTGATATCGGAATAGAGCTATCAGTCAGTGCTTGCCACTTCAGGAAATAAATGTACACACCCTGAGACCACTTGATATAGCCACTGGACGAGTTCATAAGGATGACAGCATCATTGGAGCTATCAACAGCATGAACCCTCCGGGTTGGGCTTGTGTACCAAGCATTCTGTTCTCTTGATGTAGACGATTAGATAATGACCCTTAAGTGTGAGAATTTGGTCACTTAATTAATCGAAAGAAGAGGCTTGCCCTCATAATTTCCCGCATTAGTCAATTGAAATAAGCACTGATTACTACGAGTGTAGCCCTGTGTGACCCTACTCCGGAACCAAGCACGGAACAAGGGTTCAGGCCAGCTTTGAATTCTTCTTCTCGAGTCGGGCGATTCGAGCAGCCTGTTCAGTGATCTTCGCATGTTTCTGGCCTCAGTCGCCCTCGTTGCGAAGAGCTTCATTGAGCTTGGTCTGAATATCAGCCTTGTCCCTCTCGAGCTGTGAGTCTCTGTCTTTGAACCTCGTAATCTCGTTGTATTTCTACATCTGCTCAGCTTGGGATTGGGCAAGCTGTGCCGTCAAGCGAGCATTCTTTGCTCTCTCAGCAGCGAGATCATTAGCTAACTCTTTAATCCTTTTTTTCAGCTCGGCAACTTCTTTTCCGCAATCTGGAGCCTCGTCGTGAGGCTTGGTATTTGCGAATAGCTTGAACGCGCCTACCTCCTGCTCGCCCTCGGGTCCCTTCATAAAGATACTAAGGACTTCAGTTGTCTTTTCCCAGGCACAGGTAACCAAGTAGTCCGAGTCCAGTTGACAAGTGAACAAGGCAGACTTGCTATCAAGCGTGCCAATGCTCTGTTTCCCAACCCGGAAAATTGGCACTCTTTCATTGAGATATTTATCATGGGACCACTGCCACATTGAGAGGAAAGGCTTCCCCTCTCCAAAACCTTCAGCAGCAATGAATAAACAAAATTCATTATCTGCCATGTTGGGCCAGTTGAGCTTGCTGACCCAGATCTTGCCGGCATCTTTTGATAGTGCGTTTGTAGGCTTCCAGACGCGCTGGAAGTCCATTTTGCTCTTAGACGTAGTAGTGTCTGTAGATAAGATAAAGTCAAGCTTGTCGTATTGGTCACGAGAGGTCATGTTCCATCTGTAGTAGCCTGGCTTGACGTTAAAGGTGTCATCGCCGTTGGCTGTCTTGGTGACCTTGTCGATAGTTATCTTCTGGGATAAGGGTGCCTTCTTATTTCCCCCGGAATCGCGGGTCCATTGGGATAGGATAAAGACAGGGTCTCCTGCACGCATCGTGCCGGAAGGTAAAATGATGGCAGCAGTCTCATCGCGAGCGGAACTGCCCCAATTGAGTCTGCCTTCATAGACAAACATGTTAAATATCAAAATGTTGAATGGAAATAAGAATGCCCCTGGATAATCAAGAGGTTGAATGGTTGTGGCTTTTTCCAGAAGATGCTGGTTCGGCATGAATTGAGAAGGGGTTTATGTAGACAGGCTCAGACATAACTTAGTCTTGGGAATCAATCCTATTCTATTTGTCCCTCGTTTACGTGATCCAACACCTCCCCCACAATCTCCTGCAAGTTGATGCTAGACCGTAGCTGAAAGATTTCAGCTGCATCCAGCAACAAATCATACACAATCGCTTGATAGCAGGCCAAATATCCGACCCTACACTTTGACACGATATTTTGCCTAGTCGACGTCCTTCTGACCCATCATCGTATCACAATTGCCGCTGACGTCTCTATAATGCCTCCGATTCGCTCCCGAAGGCTCATCATGTAAAGTCCTTTTTGCTGTAGAAACAATATTGAGCAAAGTGGCGGGCTGATGACCGTTTTAGGGTGGCTGAAATATAGGCTATTGAATGCAGTCAGCTTTATGAGTTACATCGTCTCTTTTACCGATCTGGACGAGGAGGAGAGCTGTATTGACAACTTTTGCCCTTAAACTAACATTCTGATATTATTACAGAGGATTGCGCGGCTTGAAAGAAGTGGCTATTGAGTAGAGTAAAGTTTATGACTACGGCAGACTAAGGACGTGTAAAATGTGTGCTAGAGGAGAGGAGAAAGTTGATAACCACGAGGAGATAACCTTGCAAAATCGCCAGGCCACTCCAATAGAAGTAAGGAGGAGTTATCATCATAGTGATTTCTCAGCTAATGCAGTGCGTTTACACAGGCCGCCTGGTTCGTTTCCTGCTATAATTATATTTCAGCATGATTTAAAAGGTCTTAATCCACAACTATCTTAGCTAGCCTACAGCTTCACCAGAATGGTTCCGAGTAATGTGTCGTTTGCGACGATTTCAATGTTAATGATGTATCAGGCGTTGACAAAACAAGTCTCGCTCCAAGGGCCGGCAGTGCCGACATGCATGACTGCGGGCCGATCCTTTCCCTACAAGACTATCAATTGGGAGCTGACAGCCATTTTAGGACTGCTGAAGACGTTGGGCTGAGACTTCTCCTGTCAATCCTGGGGAATTGTGGCTGGCGGCGCTACTTTACATCCTTGTCACGTCGAGCTGGTTGGTGATCATGGGGTTGTCAGCTCGCCACTACCGAGGAATCTGACCCTTCTGGGACTTACAGCAAGGGTCTCAACATTTATTACCTGCAAGTATGATACGGCAACGAAAGCTACGGGTAATGAGCGGGGTAAAATTTTGATTTGGTCCGTCAGCAATGTCAAAGCGTGCATCCCTGGCAGAGATAGAGCGATGATATGATTTGTTGCTCTCACCGGTCAAAGGGTCTCCTAAGTTAGCTTCAGCAAGCCACAGATTTATTTCAGCTGTCATCTAGTAGAAGCATGGGGAATGCTGGTGCCGAAAGTGCCGTATTCGGTAGATGAGGATAACATAGAGTATTTGTTATCATGGCTTTACATGGAGACTTCGTAGATGCACTATTTGCCATCGGCTATATAATCCTCCTTTAATCCACGCTGATTGTTCGTTCCCGGACCAGGAACAAATAAACACTTCTTCTTTCAACATTCGTCCCAACTTATCCAAGCCAATATGTCAATCGTAGTTGACCCGCATACCCAGTAAGTCCAAGATGCCCGTCTCACTTAATATAAACACCCGTCCGCCAATAGTAACCACAATTTAGTGACTGGGACGCCCCGCTCCCTCCCCCTCAAAATGCCGAACTTCAAGTCCGCCTACCCCAGCCTGAGCCCTCACTCCCCCGCGTACTCGAACCTCTTCCTTTTCCCACCGGAATCATCGAGAACCTGAAGCATGTTGTCGCCTACGCTGATCAAGCCGGCTACCTTGTCAACTACGCGCATGAGGTGAGCAATGATAACTGACACTTTTACTTGGGTATTGGCTAACAAGTAAGCGATTCAATCAATTGGACGCTGATTTCCATCTTCAAGGCAAGGTGCTTGAGGAACGCAACGCTGCAATCGCACAACTCAAACAAGAGGTCAAGCAGCTTGGAGATGACTTCACTGTTGAGAAGGCAAAGGTCGCCGACTTGACCAAGAGACTGGATGAAGCTCGAGCTACCTATGAAGCCAAGTTGAAGGAGAAAGACGAGGTGATCAAGAAGGATGAGGACCAGATCAAGAAAGACAAGGGGCATGATCTTGACGACCACAAGACCATTGACAGACTGGCAGCTCAGCTTGAATACGAACGCGCTTCGAAGGCCGAGGTGCAGAAGGCTCTCGACCAGACTAAGACAGCACTTGCAGCGGCAGAGGCTAGTTTGACTACTGCCAGCGCGACTATCGCAAATCTGACCACCCGCGTTGCCTCTCTCGAAGCTGAGCTCGAAGTTGAGAAGAAGGACATTGACAGATTGCAGAAGGAGACCAAGCAGAAGACAGACAGAATCTCGCAGCTCGAGAGAAACAACGCTGATCTACAGTCCAAGCTCAACGGAGCCCTCCAAGAGGTCAAGAGCAAGCAAGACCAGATCAACGCCAAGGACTCAACCATTCGTGATCAATCTACTCGGATTGACAACCTTACCAAGGAACTCAACGCCAAGTCTATCACTATAAACAATCTGCAGTCGCAGATCAATAGCCTGCAGCAACAGATCCGAGATCTGCAGTCGACGCCAGTCTTCAAGTTCAAGTGCAACATCAAGTGCCAACAGCCCAGCAACAGGGAGATCGCGGTTGATCTTACTGATGGAGGAGGAGCTAGTACGCCTGTCCAATGCTAGTAAGTGTCCCAGTATATCAACAGAGGAGACGAATCATCTAAACGTTGTCACACAGCTCCCTTGTGAACAATTACAATCAAACCTGGGACATTTATGCGATCGGTGGTCGTAATAATGTCGTAGTCATCAAGAACACGCGTAACAACTATGTTCTCTGGTCTGCTGGTATGTGCGCATGAGTACTCACGGAGCATTTACTCACAGTCATACAGGACGTAACCAAAAGGCTCGATGCGACCCAGGTAGAGACACATCGGACCAGGCAGCGCAATGGGAACTGGAGGGAACGACCATCGACTCAATCAACAACAACACCGTGTTCAAGTAAGTCATTCCAACTTTTCATTCCGACACCTTGGCTGACTTTCAAAATAGAATCCGAAACATCAAGTACGGCATGTATCTCGATCTTCAAAACTGTGACACCTCAAACTACACGCCTTTTCTTACCTATGATGGCAATAACGGATTGAACCAGAAGTTCAAGATCTCGAAGCACTAGGGGTTGATACTTGTATTGTGAAAGGTTTCTGATTAGGTAGTGAAGAGAACAGATGTTGCTTATGAAATGGACACGGGTGCTTTATTTTCTGAATAAATTACTTTCGTTGGTCATTACTACTCTCAGTGACATGTACGAGTCATGGCATTGAAACTCAGGGCTCAAGTGTTGGGGATGAAGCAGTTGTAAAATGAAGTTCGTAATCTTGTAGAACGTTATGTTGTAACTGAACCTTAGCCCCGGTTGTTATGGCAATTGTTGAGACGTTGTAACTTACCTTACTCAATATCCTCGGGTGCATCATCCTCGCCTTCAACCTCCGGAACGACATCGGTCGTAGACCCCTGCCATATAAATATCCCTAGCCCAGCAGTACCGACAACCACAAGGATCTTTAAAATCCATGCCGTCAAAGCTCCGTACTCCAGCACCCAGCTCGCTATCCACTGCATACACGGCGTGACCAGCGCACGACGTTCCTCTTCCAAGTCTGGATTGACAGAGTATACTACCGCAAGGATCGCGAATAGAGTAAGAGTTAATATGAGTGTTATGAACACTTGGAGGAAGGCGAGAAAGACAGCGATGTTTTTGGTTGTGCGGAGGACTTCGAATCCGGCGGCCACGAGGGGCGTGACTTGGTCAAATGCCGCGTGGACTTGTTTCGAATATGGCATACCCATGGTTACTATTTATGACGCGTTGAAGATTGATGGTTATGGATCTGGGCTGCGAGAGTGAAGCATTAATTGCTGGCTCGTCAAAGCCGGAATTATGTTGGTTTCTGACATCATCATGTGATGTCAGAGTGGCGAAGAGTATGGATAAACCACACTAGAGGAGGGAGGAAGACTCAGGACCTTGATCCTAAGTGATAAAAACAGTTAGGTAACTCATCGCCACTTTAGAATAAGTTTAGTATACCCTTTACTGAGTTCATTTTGACACATCAAGGTGCGGTGTTTTCCTGCCCCTTGAGGCCATAGGAACTCAGATCTGATAATTACAACAGGACGGGTTCCCACACTCCATGAATAATGGCTAAAAGGCTTTTGTATAGATCTGATGCATATTGGCCAATCTTTGACTACGGTCAGATCTAGTCTTGTTTGTTGAAGCATCTAATTGAGAGCCCCTTAGATCTACTTAATGTCACTGTCTCGAATGCTCTTACAGCCTCTGGCCAAAAAGCCTTGCTGCTCACCACCTATCTCCTCAGGGACCTGGGATCTCTCAGAGCACCATCTCCAAGACCAGTCGCTCAAGCCAGCTTTCTCGAATGCAGTCTTGACCTCCATTTCTGTAAAACCCATTTTCGACATGGTATGGTTAGACAACTCTTTGGTCCTTGGGGCTTCAGGGAGGCCGCTCTCTGATGATGCAACCAGATCAATGATTAAAAGCACACCACCAGGATGGAGCTTGTCGCTCAGTCTCTGAATCATAGCTGCGTAGTCTTGTACGTGGTGCAGAGCCATGCACATGACAACGAGATCGAAGTCATTGAACTCTGGAGTGTCAATCTCGGGAGAGGGCGATGCTTCGGGGTTCATCAAATCCCCGTGTATGGCTCTCATTTCCTCTGGACTGAATCCAGCAGCTTCTGCAAGCATGTTGTATTGCTCAACCATCTTGGATGAGATGTCAATGCCACGGACGACGGAGACATTCGAGGCGAGTGCCTGGGACGATTAGCCACTAATAGCAGTGCAAAAGACGGGAGAACTGACACGAGAAGCAACGCCGTTACCACAGGCATAATCGAGCATTTTGGAACCATCAGGCCTCTCAGGAATGCCAATCCAGTCCAGGTTCTGGCGTAACTCGTCGGATATCTGGTTACATAACCGCTGAATCCAGGGATGCTTGAACACTTCAGCGGCGACTTGGCTGCTCATATTAGACCGATATCGATATGAGTTCTGGGACTCTTACTCGAAGTGCTCCTTGTTCTTCTCCCCGAGGGCTTTGGCCTCATCACTGATACTGTTGATCTTGTCGCCCATGACAGGCAATGTGTCTCTCAGAGTCAAGTTGGAAGTGATTTAGGGTAATGAAGAAGTGAAGAGAATGATGAAAGATTGAAAAGCAAGTAGAAATCTATTGAGCATTGGCAAAAAGGCCTATATATATCGGATGGGTTCAGCTGGAGGAAAAGTCTCCGGATAGTATGTCTCCGCAAAGTTTCCGTGGAGACAAAAAGGTGACAAGACATTTTGCTAACCTTCAAGGTCCACATTATTGCTCTTAAAAAAGCTGCTTTGGTAACGGTTGAAGCTTTTGATGCACTCAGTTCTGTTGGCTGGTGAGTCTCAGTAGTGCCAAGTCTTGCAAGGGTCAGGACATGTCTACAAGATGATAGGCTTCTATGACTAATGGGTCGCTGATGGAACGATGACCTACCCAAAAGGCGCAGACAACTCATTGCTAATTTAGGCTTAGAGGATAGTATCTAGGTCCTCGTACTCTGTCACCAAAAGGTCACTATCCGGGTGCACAGACTGGAGCACCGGGTTTATCCTGTCAGTCACTATCCATGCCTCGGCAGTGCCAGGAACTCCCATTCAGATCTAGCGGTCAATTGGCGATCGATAGGTCAAATCGGATCAGGTCATGGGCAAGCAACACTAGCGTTTAGGACCGACTCCCAGTTCCACAAATCGGTTCAAGCGAGTCTTTGTTGGCACTGACAACTTGAGTTGCTCCGATCCGATGCTTGGCTGCATTATATAATCGGCATTTGGGATCTAGAAACACCGAGATCAGGTATCTCAGCTCCCCTATATAAATGGCGAGTTCCCGCATACTCGTTTCCATAGACATCCAGTTATTTGTAATCCCAAAACCTTATCTTGCTCGAAAACCTTACCCCACACTTTGTCAAAAATGACTGTCGCGAATACTACCAAAGCACTCTTCATCGATGCAGAGAACAATCCCCAGGTCATCGAGCGACAAGGTCTCCCGAAACCAAGCAACGGCGAATTGCTCATCAAAGTTCTATACTCGGGCGTTAATCCCGCCGACATCAAGCATGCGACTTTCCTTGGAATCAACAATACCGTCATAGGCCATGACTTTAGCGGTCAAGTCCTGGAAACAACAAAGCCCGACTCTGTGTACAAGCCTGGAGATATTGTAGCTGGATATACGCCCCTAGGCTTTCCTCAGCCTGTTCACTACGGAGCTCATCAAGCATATATCACATGCCCAGAAGACATGCTGTTCAAAGTCCCCGACAACCTGCCTCTGCCTGATGCAGCGAGCTTGACTGTTGTTGCCATGACAGCCGCTGATGCGGTATATAACCTTTTTAAATTCCCCCTCCCGACGGAGAACGAAAGACCAGCCTACAATGTACCGTTTCTGCTTTGGGGAGCGACAGCTTCCGTTGGGTACTGCGCCCTTCAGTTCGCGATCGCAAGCGGTGTGTCTCCCATTTTTGTGACCGCAAATCCAGCGCAATTCGAGCATCTACGCTCTCTAGGAGTCGAACACCTATTCAACTATAAGGATAAGAACGTCCACGAATCTATCGCCAAGAGTCTGCGTGACTTGGGTTTTGACAAATTCACCTACGCATTCGATGCAGCAGGAGCTCCTGATTCAGGCGATCAGGTGCTAAAAGCTGTAGCAGACGACACTTTCATTGCTTCGACGGTCTTGAGAGACGAAAAGCGTTTCAAGATGCCCGTTGGGGCAACCAATATCGACTTTGTGATTCAACCTCCTGGGGCTCCTCACCCGATTTCCATTCCTGCCCGACCTGCGGACCATGCTAGAGCTTGGGAGGCCTTGAACTGGGCCATTGATAACTATGGGAAACAATTTCGCTTGCCGCCTGTCCGTGTGGTGGACGATACTGCTGAAGCTGCGTTGGAAGAGATTCAGCGTTTTGTCAAGCAAGGTGGAGGATTTTCCAAGATTTCAATCAAGCAACCACTAGCATAATTATTTGTGTAGATGCAGTTTTGATATATCTTGCGATCAAGGAGTCTCATAAAATATTCCAGTCTGCGAATTTGCTTCTGTGTTTTGCATCTTCGACTTGACACAAGATGCATTGTCTTCCGATGCATCACAGAGCCATGCACCCAAGCCACTCGGAACCATCACAGTTGCCTTAGCCGAAAGCGAGATTAGGAAGTGCCATCGATGGCACATCTACGATCTCTTGTGGTACGTTCCCTGTTCTAGACTAGGAGGAGGAACGGGATTTCGGGCTTACCAGGGCCTTGCCGAGGCCCTGCCGAGGACGCAATGCAAATCCGTCCTGTTCCTATATGGCAACTAACTCGAAAACTTTCTGGTCTAATAGTCTCATTGGACCGAGACCACAGACACAATAATTCTATTGTTGCTAGCTAATATTCCGGAGAAGTAAGCACTATATCTTACATCTTACTCGTCTCGTTACATCAGGTTCCTTGATTCATGTCCGGAAAGCTTTCGCCTCCTCCACCTTTCTGTCTTTATGTCCTCGGGTGACTATTAAGTTGTATTTGGAAATATGCCTATATGATAGACTAATTTGTGGTTTCTCACGGCCATCTTCAACCTCCTCGCGATGTCATAAACTCACTTTCTCCCGTTTTGAAGGGGGGGTGGATTCGTTGACTCGTTCTCATATCAAGGCGTTAGTAGGCCCAAAAGCCGTTTGAAGTGGTTTACAGTAGAGTTCATGTCTAGCACAAAATTATTTCAGCCTGTGTAATGGATATTGAGAGCTTGTCATGTGATGCCGTTACTCCTGGTACAGGTGGCTCTAAGTGTCTTCATACATTTTCCTCATTCGGCAACGACTTGATGATATTCAGTCACAGGAACAGGTATAGAACTCATCATTGAAACCCATGTTATTAGTTAAAGTCTCTAAGCTATTTGGCTCCTAGCTATATTAAATGTAGTCCCTCATCAAAAGTTCAACGGTAGAGGCTTTCATAGCAAACAAACAGCAGTCATCACATGTCGGATATGTGCCAGAAAAATAACTCACTCGCATATAACATGATGCATTTGCCGTATATCGGTCCAGTTTCCCGGCATATGCATACATGTTGCAAGGATCAAAGCCAAACAATTGGCCAGCATTCCACTGTTGTTGGTTGAGCACATATTGATACATCAACAAACATGGATTATCGGACGTTCGACTCCGCAGTCCGAGTTCAAATATCATGATCTGTTACTCAACCCCTCAGCCCATTCTGAAATCCTTTCACTGTACATCATTCCGCAATCAAGATGTCGTCGCCAGCTCGCAAGAAGCCTACGGATTCGAGTTCGGTTGGTTCATCGCCGCCGCGCGTAGGCCTCACACAGAGCGGTCTTCTCCGGCCAGTACATTGGTCACAATTGCCAGAGGTGAGCTTTCAAATGCGCTTGAGCGGCTGTTGCTTACTTAGGCCGTGTCAAAGCAAGAAGACGCGGCAGAGGATGGGGACTCGGCGGTGCTTGACAATGCTAGCTCGACTGCATCCTTGACATCCAGCATCCTTCAGTATAGAACTATCAATGGCAGGGCGTACCAGGGCGAGCGGGGTAATCCAGAGTACTGGTGCGTTATATAATTCAACCGTGGTTATCATGACTGATTGTGAGAAGGGGACCTATCGACGACACTGGCCAAGAGGCAATGGACATCAAGTAGGTTTGGCTAAGATGCTCCTAAATTAGCTAACGATCGCGATATCTAGCCACCATGTACTCACTCTCTTACTGGGCGATCAGCTATATCTAGCACCAGTCCCAGACGATATTCAGGTACGGCAACCTGGCACGAATTTGGTGGGGTAGGCTGATTAGCATGATACTTTAGACTGCTGTAGACATTGGAACTGGAACTGGTAAGTAACCTGTGTGAGTACTAGACATCTTAGTTAACATTACGACAGGAATCTGGGCCATGTAAGCCTACGCCCATCCGAGTAACCGGAGAGAATTTCAGGCTTACATGAAGGGAAGGGAGTTTGCAGACAGGTTCCCAAATGCTTCCGTCATTGGTACTGACCTCGCGCCGATCCAGCCTGGTTGGATCCCTCCTAACCTTGAGTTGTAAGTCTTGCGATTAGTCTACATCATCACCATGCATCGGGTCCTGATATTGTCCCAAATAGCCAGATAGAAGACTGCACTCAGGATTGGACCTTCCAGCCCAATTAGACTACATCCATATGCGATGGCTGGTCGGCAGCATCGCAGATTGGAAGTCTCTGTTCAAGGAAGCTTATAAGTGCCTCAAGCCGGGAGGCCACATCGAGAGCTACGAGCCATCATCACGTGTCGAAAGTGACGACGGTACCGTCCAACCAGGCAGTGCGCTTAGCCAGTGGGAAAAGTTCTTTGTCGAGGGTGGACGTAAGATAGGACGACCATTCACGATCTTTGAGGAGAACATCCAGCGAGAAGGGATGAGAGAAGCAGGCTTTGTGGACATCGAAGAAAGGGATTTCAAGGTAAGTGATATCTTAAAGCTAGGGTTGGTACTGATTAACGTGGTGACAGAATCCTGTTGGAGGATGGCCAAAGGATCCGAAGCAGCGAAGTGTTGGACAATTCATGCAGGCTGCTTTTGAACAAGACGCGCAGGGAACTGTGCTTCATATGGCTACTGCGCTTGGCTGGACTGAGGAAGAAGTCACTGTTTTCATCTCGCATTTTAGACAAGAGATTCGATCACCCAAGATTCATTCGTATTTCCGGCAGAAGGTTGTTTGGGGACGGAAGCCTCTTTAAGACTGGACTATTGGACTGGTGATCGTCCGGTGTCCGTTGAAGCTTTCTCTTCTCATTGATTCAGAAGGGAATGGATTTTCTGTTGCTACATATAAGTCTGTTACTAAATTGAAATCGTCCAATCCACATTATGAGCCTAAAGGTCACCTCCCGAATCGAAATCTACAAAGAACCTCTCTTCAACATGCTTGATACATTAAAAGGGTCCTCCATCCTTAGTGTGGCTATGTGCTGTAACTTTCTGCTGGTGATGACAGTGGACTTGCAGTCTGAAAGAATTCTTGCAAGTTTCGTCTCAGCGGCCTCCTCAACTCCCGTCGCATGAGAGCGAAGGACCCCGAAAGCTGGTGTCACAACAGATAACTCAGAGACAAACCCCAAGTATACCAGAATCCATTTCCGTGTAGGGAGCTCAGCTGGTGCCAGTAATACGTCAGCTAACAGATCTAGGCCTGATTCCTTTATGATACTATAGCATAGTTCTATACGTGACGCATGCGGGCTGACACGAGGGTTCAAAGAATTGTAATAATTAATTTCATCTATTAAAATACAGTAGCAGACAATCACGTCATACATCCCCAGCGTTACACCAATTTCATAAGCGATTGCACTTCATACAGCGAACTCACAACCCATAACCCGCGCTTAGTGTCCTCTGTATGCGCCATCATACCCTGCCGCAGCCCGATCATCAACCCTACCATAATCAGCAGGCAACTCGACCAGATTCTGCGCATGCATCTCATGTGTCCTCTCGTCATGCAACTCATATCTCGTCTCTTCATTTGTCTTTCCCGCATCGCTATCCTCCAATTGCTGCGAAGACTTTCTCTTTTTCCCGCGCAGCACAAGAAAACCCACAAGCCCTAATGCTCCGAGGCCTCCAATCACAGATCCGACGGCGATTCCGGCCTTGGCACCGGTGCTGAGGCCGGCTGTCGACGTTGTTGATGATGGGGTCGATGAGGAGGATTTGGAGGAGGATGTTGAGGAGGACGCTGAGTCGGACGCAGATGAGGTTGTTAAATCGCTAGTCGAATCGCAGGAACCGAAGTCGCTTTGGCAGCCAGTGCTGCAGTAAGCTAGATAGTGGAATTAGCATTGTTGAACCGTGAGAGATGCTCGTCTTTGTGCGTGGTCACTTACCAGAGGTCTTGCCACAGTAACCCTTTGCCGAACAGCAATCGCCAAACTCGCTGTCTTGGCAAGTAGCGTTGGTGTCTGAGTTGGAGCCGCAGTTTCCATCGATAGATATAGCACCGAGGCTCGTTGACGCGGCCGACGTCGAGGTTGAAGTCTTGTCAGATGTCGCGGTTGTGGTGGAGGACTCGTCACTGGATGAACAGCTACCGAACATGCTTTGGCACCTGTTGGGGGCAGTGTCAGCGACGTAAAAAAACGTGTTGAGGAAGCTAAGGTATGCGATGCCGTCTAGGCAGAAATGGTCGTCTGCCTAGAAGCCAAGGGTACTCTCGCTCTTGTTGGAACGCTACCAGAGCAAGCAGAAGATTGAACTTACCCAGCACCACAATATGTTGCATTCTTGCCACAGTACCCCTTCTCAGAGCAACAGTCTCCATACGAGCTGCCCTCGCAAGTGATGTTGCTAGTCGACGTCGCACCGCATGATCCCGACGTGCTCACAAGCTGTCCATCATCACTCGACGAGCAACTACCAAAGGCTGATTGACAACCTTCCGAACAATAGGCACTCGTCTTTCCGCAGAATCCTTTCTCGGAGCAGCAGTTACCGAAAGTGGATGTGAGGCATGTCGCATTCGTCTCCGAATTAGAACCACAGTTGCCGTCTTTGCTCGTAGGATTCTTCGCTCGCGGTAGTAAAACGGGAGACGACGAGCTGGGGACCAATTAGTTAGTTAGAACTCTAAAGCAAGAGGTCCGTGTAGCTTACAATCCAAAGTTGAAGGAGGCTGAGGCTAAGGAGAGTATACACAGAAAGTACACCAAAGAGAGCTCCATGTCGCTGGTTTGGCTTAGGCAACACAGAAGGAATTTCCCCTCGGCGTCCTAGCAGGGCACAATGCCTTTATGTGGGCTCACTCTTGGGAACGACCCTGGTAAATCCGCCGAGGTTAATTTGATAATCTCCCTGCTCCACCGAGTCCACTCCCCCCCAACCCGAAAGCTTCATTTGCCCCATAGGGCTAGACAAAAGTACCTAACAATAGAGTCTGCGCCCCCAAGAGAAGAGGCTGTGAACGGATCGGCCCGGTATGGCGTCCATTCAAGTGCTCTTGTTTCCTGAAGCAAACGGCTGGCTTCAGGCCAGTCACCTTATCTGATAGCTAACTAAGCCAAGCGATGCTGTAAAGTGGAAAGCTATACCCAATGCCTCTCTTTCTTGCCTTGTGAACTAAGCGAGCAATGGGTACATTTTTTCAGCAAGGGAGACTCGTGTCAGCAACAAGGTCATCCATGGTTTATCACCCAGGGTGTAAAAGACGCCTAGCTCTTCTCTGCCAACGCTCCGTTTTACAATTCAGGAGAGACCGAAAGGAGACCAATGGCATCGAAAGCCGTTGTCTGGGATGAGCCCTCAAGGTTTGGCGTCTGCTTACTGTGGAGAAGAATCGCTGTCGACCTCGTTCCCGCTACCAATCATAGCAAATGGTGTAGTGCAAGCTTTGGACCCCAAGCGCGAATTGACCGCTTTAAGCGCGGCACGGTTGGTTCGTTAACGGAAGCGATCGCCTCAACGGCCGGGCTTAGACTTGCTAAAATAAACTCAGCAAGGGATGCCCTACTCTTCGGCTAGAGTTGGCTAAGTATTTCCGTTGCTTAGAGGCCACCCCAATTCCGACGGTTCTTTTGGTCCTACGGCACATGAAAATAATTTGATATCTTGGCGTCAGCGTTATTTAGATGTGGAGATCGTTATTTATTAACAAGGCTTAGTTTTGAGACGGTTAAATGTCTCCGAAGAGACTAAGAAGAATGGGACATATAATAGGCTCAAGAAGATCCGAGCCTAGCACTCGGATCTTTTGTCCTGCCTTTAGTATCTTCAGCCATGTTCGTTTCTTTCCCTCAAGCAATCGGCCGTCTGGCCCTGGTTCTTGGACTTCTGCCCAATCTCGTCCTCGCCCAATGTGGTCCAGACAATGATGGAGCTCGCTGCCCTTTAAACGTCTGCTGTTCATCAGCTGGATACTGCGGAACAACTTCCGTGTATTGTGGTGATGGATGTCAATCATCGTTCGGGAGCTGCTCTGTACCTACAGTTCCGTCTTGCTCTTCCGACGGTAAGACGGCCACCAACGGCCGTCGCGTTGGATACTGGCGCGTACAGCAGGCTTGGGACCGATCTTGCGACGTCGTCCTTCCCTCCCAGATCCAGACCAATGGGTTGACTCATCTGATCCTGGCGTTTGCCGATTTCGACGCTAGCAGTTTCGCAGTGGGCGGTCAAAACTCTCAAGACGTCGAGTACTATAAGCAGTTTACCGCTTTGCAGAGCAGTTCGTTGCAGACATGGATTGCCATTGGTGGCGGTAGTTTCTCTACTGAGACCTGGTCTACCATGGCGGCTTCATCGGAATCGCGATCTGCGTTCATCTCGTCTCTCAAGTCCTTCATGGAGACTTACTCCTTCCAAGGTGTTGACCTTGATTGGGAATTTCCAGCGACCTCTGATGCAGCAAACTTAGTCACTCTTGTCCAGGAACTCCGAGCTGCCTTTGGAAAGGATTACGGGATCTCAGCCGCGGTGCCAGCAGACTGGGGTAGCATCCAAGGCTTCAACGCTGCAGGTATGGGCAAATATGTCGACTTCTTCAACTTTATGGCCTACGATTTACACGGCTGGGGCATTGATCAAGAACCAGCCAAGAACACTGTGACCTACCAGGCCAGCATCGTTGATATCGCCAACGATCTCATGCCACTGTGGGCGAACCAGACAGATCCGTCGCTTATCAACCTCGGCATTCCCCTCTATGGCCGTGGATATACCCTCTCCTCCTCCAGTTGCAAAGACGCTGGTTGTGCTGCCTCGGGACCCAGTGAAGAGGGCTCTTGTGTCAAGGATCCGACAGGTGTTATGGTGCTGAGTGATATCAAAAAGGCCATTGCAGCCAACCAAGCCACTGTCAAGCTTGACAGCGAGGCTATGCAAAAGGTTGCGACTTGGGGAAGTGATCAGTGGATCGGCTATGATGACGCTGATACGTTGGCACTGAAGATGACATGGGCTGATGGATTGTGCTTGGGCGGTGCTGTATTCTGGGCGCTTGATAACAATGGCGGTGCGTGGGGTGCTAAGGGTAAAGGCCCTTGCAAACCGTAAGAGCTAGTGGTATCTGCCGACTAACAAGTCTTTTACGGCATCTCATAGTACTGTAGAATAAACCTATGTTATAATCTTATACATGCCTTGCGCAATAATAGGCCAGACGGACCTTCCTAGTCTTGTTCACTGGCTAGTTGACAGGCAATCTATAATTGTGAGATAAAAGCCGGGCTGATTGGTATCTGAGCTCAAGTTGAGCTACAGAGTTATATAAGAAGAAATTACAGCAATCAGTAGAAGCTTATGCCCTATACAAAGCAGGTGGGCATCGTCAGTAATATCGCTTCAGTGCATGCTGACTTGAGGTTGGTTTGCCGTACACGTTCTCGAATGTGTCGGAAAGTAGCTAGTCTCTCTGAGCAGGAGAGGTCTTCATCACATATAAGATAAAACCCGTGGTTTAAATATTTACATATAGAGACGCCATTCATCCTTAGGTCCAGGGACATGGCCTGAAGTCGGCTTGGGATTGTATAGGTCAAGTGTGATAACTATAATTGTTGATCTGAAGTCGTAGATAGAATGCCGTATACTAATTGACCGGTAACCTAATCTTTTCAGTATTACCTTAAGATATGCGATGCTGACTTAACGTAAGTATATCACGCGTGTCCTATTCAGAAATAGCATGTTTCTATAAATCAGACGCATGTTTGAAGACATTCGCAGTCGCATCCAGTCTTTTGCGATTGGCAGGACTTGCAACTCGACACCGTTTCGGTCGGCCAACACTCGCCGCGAGCCTCCGACAATCGCGTCTACCCTTAATTTGTGCCGAGCAATGCCACTCCAAGTTTTGGGCGGGAGGCAAAGGAAAGTCTATGATGTAATACAGATAAGCCGGGTAAGCGATCACTGACTAACTAACGAAAGGCAACAGTTGGCTGGTTCTGTCAGCATTGAAAATGTCCACTGCTCATAATGCTTTTGGCTGTCCTAAGTGCCGCTGAATGGCCAGATTGTTTTGCCTCATGTTCCGTGCGTGAGCCACTTCCGTATATGGCCCGTTAACACCGAGCTATGGTTGTTGATGATGTCTCTCTATGGCAATACTCGAGCATCAATCTGCCTGAGCCCTTGGAGATTATAAAGTCGTTTGTCCTCTGTGCTCAAAAATCGAACATTAATTAACTACTTTTCTCTTCTATCTAACCTGATTCCAAAAACACAAAGCTCCAAGACTTTTCAGCATGTCCAACATTCCGCGGATCGATGTTCACCACCATATTATCCCTCCACAGCTAGAAGGTAATTTCCTCCCACTTCGTCGCTTGTAAGAAAGATTCAGCTAAACCAAGTAACTTATAGGAGTCGGGGCTGGTCTAAAAGGCATGAAAGTCCCCTCATGGAGCGTCCAAAGTGACAAGGCCTTCAACCAGACATACAACATCGCCTCTGCCATATACTCCATCAGCACTACGCTATGCTTTTGATACGTTAAAGGCCGATGGAGTCACCTTGTTCACCAGCTATGCCACTCCCCAGGGATATCTCGGACACTCCGAGTATGTCCCAATCTGGGAAGAGCTCAATCGCCGCAAAGCCGTTGTCTTTGTCCACCCGATCAATAATGTCTCAGCTGTCTACTTTGACGACCGCCTTCCAATGCCTGCTTTTGACTGGCCCCATGAAACAGGCCGTGCAGCCATGGACATGATTCTCAACAGACGTCTCGAACAGTTTCCCGATGTTAACATCATTCTGTCACATGCTGGTGGAACACTTGCTGCACTTGTCCAGCGAGCGACGATGATAGCTCTCCCTGAATTTGGAGAGCTAATGAGCGCTGAGGATATTATTAAGCAGGCAAAGCAGTTTTACTTTGATACCGCGCTTTCGGGAAGTCAGGAGGTGTTTCATATGATTCTGAGCTTCGCTGAGCCGGGACATTTGCTTTTTGGAAGTGACTTTCCGCATGCACCGGAGGAACTGAGCAAAGGTTTTACTAAGTTTGTTGATAATTACTCGTTGGCAGATGAGAAGAAGAGGGATGTTTACTACGAATCAGCTTTGAAGCTATTCCCAAGACTCAAGAAGAGTTTCCATAAAGATTAGGTCAGAGGTAGATATTGGTAAATCAGTTATCCAATAAGGTATTCAATTCAGACACAACTCCATTTACTTGACTCCCGAAGCCAGGCCGCAAAGTCCTGGAGACCAGGCTCCTTTGCCCTCAGGCTCTGTATATCTGCCTTCCAGCCCGCATCTCTGAACCACTCGAAGCTCTTCGAAGCATCTTTGACCATCCATAACACGGGGTATGCTACGACCTTATATGTCTGGGGTAGCTCCTCTCCAACCACTTCTCTAAAGACGTCTTGTAGCTCAGAAAAGCTCAACTCATCGCCTGCCAATGCTACAGCCTTTCCCGCCCAATCATCTGGGTTCAGAAGCGCCTTTGCTGCAAACACGCCAATGTCATGGGTGCTAATCAGCTGCATCTTTCGCTCCTTTGGCATTCCCTCTGCCCAGAGAGACGCCATCATCTGACCGAAGAAGCCAGGGTTATAGCTGTCCATAAAGCCCGTTGGTCTCAGGATGGTCCATCGTTTGTCGTTCTCTTTGCATAGTTCGCGTAGTCGGAGCTCAATGCGGTGCTTGGCGGCAAAGTGAGGAATCTCAGTTGGTTGCGACCAGCTAGCCTCGTCGCCACCACGATCAACGCTGGAGAAGGCGATGTGGTCTACTGATTGATGTGCTATGGCTGCTTCAATGAGGGGAAGGGCCTGTGCTTCGTCATTTGGCGGGACTGTGACGATAAAGATTGATGTGATATCTGGGTGTTGTTGGAAGATGGGTTGCGGCAATTGAGTGTCGCCTTGCAAAAGAGTGATTGATGGGTACTCTACTTGAAGCGTCTGGGCCTTTTTGGACGTGATCGACCGCGTCAAAGCAAGGATCTTGATGTCTTCATTTTCTGGAGAGTTCTTGAGTGCTCTGAATAAGGCGTCGATGGTGGCCTTGCCTTGTTGGCCAGTAGCCCCAACAACAAGAATTCTCCGTGTCATCTTCGCAAGTGGTTGATGTGAGCAGAAAGTTTAGTTCTTGTGAATTGTCATGTTTTTGGTTTATCGGTTTACGACAAGGCTGATATATCAATGCGGAGACTTTTCGGAGGCTTTTTGCCTCGCTGACCAACAGGGCGCAGCAGTAGATCAATATCACCTACGTGGTCAACAAGAAGAAGTAAAGTTGATGATCTGCGAAAGGCCAAATTTAAATCACCCGCATTCTTATTACGAGTGGCAATAGCTCACGCATATGCAATTACATCTTGAAACGTGTCCAGGTGAAGGCTGGTTATCCAGTTTATAACGGTGTAGTCTATTGATCAGCTGCTACGGCATACTCCAGTCTCATATCCAATGGCTAGTAACAGTCTTGATTCATTTTTGGTTCCATAGTATCTGTCCTCGATCGCATTTGTTATGGTATCTCTAGGAGACTTTTCCTGTGACTTATCAAACGAATATGACGTAGACTACCCCGAAGGCGGCGAGTACTCTGACCCTGGCAATCAAGGGTCGCGGAAGTCTCCGTTTGCTACCCGGCCACATCGGAACCTTCGCGTAACTGTCGGGTAATGGAGAGTGGAGCACCTACACATGCATGTCAGCTCTCGCTTTTTGAAGTAATGCTCATACTGCAAGAGTATGTTCCTGCTGAGCAATACGGATCGTGATTCTTTTGCATAGTTTCAATACAATGGGAGTTCAATCCACAGCTAATCTTCCCAAGGAGACTGTATCGCATCTGGATGCTGCCCCTACCCCAAAACCAGGGGTTCTTTTGCAAGTCAGAGCCGGGAGGGTCAAGAAAGGCGCCCTAGGAGGCGAAATTACATCTGCTATCTACAAACAGCAACATGACGGACCCGTGTTCTGCAGCGCAACTGGCGTTCTGGGCGACGAACACGCTTCCAACAGACACGGTGGCACAGAGCGCGCAGTGCATCAGTATAACCCAGATCATTACCCAGACTGGCGAGCCGAGAACCCACCAGAGCCTGATATTTATGATGTCGGAGCATACGGCGAGAACCTTGTCACGACCAACATGAGTGATGAGAATGTGTGTATTGGCGACATATACAAACTGGGTAACGACGTTGTTCTCGAAGTAAGCGAACCACGACATCCATGCTTCAAACTCAACTCCCGATTTAGATGGCCGCGAGCCCTGAAACGAACGATACGAACAGGACGAGCAGGCTGGAACATGCGAGTCTTGAAGACCGGCAATATCTGCAAAGGAGACACAATCTCTCTGCTGGAGAGACCATATCCCAAGTGGTCTGTGTTGAACGTTCAACGTGTCATCAGGGCAAGGAATGTCTCGCTCAATCTTCTGGAGAAATGCACACAACTTCCCATGACAGACCTCTTTCTGGACATTGCAAAAGAGAGATTGAGGAGTGCTCCAAAGACATATACTCTGGTCGACGCTCGCCTCGTCGCTCAGCGTGTTAGGAAGCTCACATTCGCCTTGAAAGAGCCGCTGACATTTGTCAATCCTGCATTCGACCCTTATGCCTTTGCACAGGTCACATTCGGACGTGAGACAAAGTTCGAGCGTTCTTACTCTATTGTCGATGGTGATATACACAAGTTCAGCCTGGGCGTGTCACTCGATCGGCAATCACGAGGAGGTTCGGCTTATCTACACAACGAATTGAAGATCGGCGACGAGATTGAAATGTCTCCTGGATCAAACCCTGGTGCAATGGAAAACGATGCAAAGTGCGACGAGAGTCTCACACGGGTTCTGATCGTCGGAGGGATTGGAATAACGGCCTTTTTGCCATCGATGCGCGACTGGGAGAGCATCGGCCTGCCATACCATCTTCATTATGCCATCCGAAGTCTTCAAGAGGCCGCCTTTCTCGACCAACTTCCCAAAGACAAGACCACTCTGTACATCAGATCAGATGGTCAGCGACTTGTTATCAGAAACGTCATACCCAAGCCAAGCCAGGATGGGGTATACGATGCACGCATATTCTCATGCGGACCCTCAAGCATGATTAAGGAATGCGAGAACGTCGCCAAGGAACTGGGATATCCAGAACACATGGTTCATTTCGAGGATTTTGGTAACGGTGGCGGTGGTGATCTAGGAGAGCCCTTTGAGGTCGAAGTCGATGAGCCGGACTCCAACAGACACGAGACGATGACGGTTCCCCCAAACAAGACGCTGCTAGACGTTCTCAACGACGCGGGCTTCGACATATTATACTCTTGTAAGTCTGGGGCTTGTGGTGCTTGCAAAGTTGAGGTATTCGAGGGAAAGGTTGACTACAAGAGCACGGCGTTGCTTGAGAAGGAAAAGGGGCGAGCGTTACAGGCTTGTGTCGATCGCGGTATTGGGAGACTCAGGATAGAGATAGATTAGACCATGATGCACATTCTGTTCAACAGCCTTGTTTTTCAATGTGAAAGTGAGATTCTTTGGTGACCTTTATACCGTGAATGGTGCCTTTGGGTGTCATTTGATAATGCAGCTGTTAAGATACGTCTATTATGTTAGAACATAAGACGTTAGACAGCGCGATCTGGGAGACTAAAGCACAGCATGCTGGAGTTTCATGTTACATGCAAGACGACCATGGCTATGAGTGAAGACAAGAAAGCTAGTAAATGAGCGATTGCCCAAGCAATGAGGATAAATATGAGGTTGATAGCTTAAATTAGCAAATGGCAACTGCGTCTAAGTGGCGTATTCCAAGCCACAAAATGCAAAGGCGAACCCCTTTGTCCACCTTTTATCCATCATCCAAATGTCTTCGTAACACCAGCTGGACACCAAGAACATGTCAAACTTGCGAGAGTAACCTAAGCTGCGATCATTGCTTTCAAGCTCTCTTACTGCACGAAACCCGAATTATCAGCACAGTCAAAGACCTTGGCAATCGCCCCAGTATCGAATGCCTCTTTGATCAAAACGGCAACAGAGTAACTGAAATACTTGGTCAGTATATCACATGGAGATGGGAGATAGGTGAGTACTTACGTGCCAGCCACGATCATGTAAAAGCCAAGAATCATAATGAGTATATGCAAGCCATACTTGATCTTCTGACCCAGCGTGCCAGTCTTGTAGCTCTTGAAGTCATACATCCACAGCAGGGCGGGGAATACCAGGCTGAATGGCGCAAAGCAAAGAGAACCGGCCAAGCCGAGGAGATAGTTCAAGATGGGCACTGCCTCAGCCACGATGAAGGCTGCAGTTCCTAGCGCCAGGCTGATACCGAGCCAAGTACCCCAGTGAGTGAAGGTATTGGCCTGCAGGTGCTCAGAATCTCGCAATATTCGGACAAAGGCATATTTGGCAGCGACATGCTGATAGATACCAACGCCAAGGATAAGTCCGGGCAAAGACACTCCATAAGCGACCTTTTTGATAAGAGGACCGGCGCTGCCAAAAGCCGGCGTCGAGATCCAAGTTCCGCACCATCTGTAGATAACAAGACTGAAAGAGAGATACATGGCGCCAACAATAAAACCAGCCACAAGACAAGCTTTGCGATAGTCATGCGGTCTCTTCATCTCAGAGATAACAGGCAAGAACATAGAAGAGCCACAGGTGCTGATGAAGATATTCGTGGCGTTGATCATACCAACAACAAAGCTAGGATATGCAATTGGTGCCCAGCCAAGGTCAAAGTCGCCGGTCTTAGGAGCGGCAGCTGGTCTGTCGACCTGCGTCACAGCGACGACGAAGATAAACACTCCAAGGACGAATGTGATGAAGCCGAACCAGGTCAGCCAGCCCAGACGAGCAAATGTGCGGATCGAAGAGAAGAGCGTGATGAGGATGGCGGAGACGAGGGCGAATACGACGGTGCATGTACCGTGGTCTGACAATGCATTGAGACCGATAGCCGATGTGACAATGCCGCCTGCAGAGATGAGAACTTGGGCGATGATGATCTGGACGCCAACAAGCTCACGACCCCAGCGACCCCAGATGAGGCCCATCATGTCAGCGAGTGCTAGGACATATAAGCGACTGTTTCAATCTTCGACCGGAACTGTGGCTGCTTACTGTGGCATTCGGTATGGTTGTGCTTGAAATCACCAAGAACAAGGGCAGTATCTGAATGAAAAAAGCCATTAGCATCAAGTTCAAGGGGCTGCGAGAAACATGCAACTTACAAACATTGAGCGAAGTATATCCAACGATACACAGAGATCCCCCCACAGAGCCCAGCGCACCAAGAGCCCCAGGGATAGCAAGGATACTCATGGCAAAGTTGATCTTGAGAAAGACCACAGTGGCTCGCTGCCAACTGACGGTTCTGAACTCAACGCCATCGACGTTCTCCTGAAAGACCTCCCGAGACTCCCCCTTTTCGGTGTCGGAGCCGGCGGCGTCTCCATGGTGGGGAACGATCTTCTCGTCTTTGGAGGGAGATGTGTACTGATCCATGGAGGAGATTGTTGGAGATGCCATTGTTGATTGGGAAGATGGAGCGCAGCTTGGAGATGGTGGGATGAAGAAAGTGAATAGTGGTATTTATACCTGACCAGGCTAGGGATCCAGTGCATGGACTGCAGCAATCCTGGGGTAAAGTGGGGGGACGATCTGAGCTCTGTAGCTGGTGTGACTGATAGATAGTTCCAAGCTAGCGAGTCTCGACTGACCGGATATGATACTGACTCGGTTAGGGGTTACGCATGTAAGTAGCCTGCACTGTGTCAGCGAGGAAAGGCCCATCTCCCCGATATCTCATCTTCGAGCAAATTCCTTTACGGCTGAGAGGTCTTGTTATCCAAGATAAGCTATTCTTTTTGATATTGTTTGATATCACGATAAACATGAATTGTAGCGGTGCTTTACAGCGCACAGTAGGCCCGCTACCGGCTCCATCTCTGATATCTCGGGATATCCGAGCACGAACCCGGTATCTGGTCCGTGGGGCTCGGTTAGATGGCCCCAGAAGCTCTCCTAGACGGGGCGTCGCCGAGACATCATACTATGATCACAAACTCCACAGATTGCAAGTGAG